CCAAAATTTGACTATCTTTTTTACAAGTCTGTCTAATTCCCTGTCGTAATATTTAGAACACTGGGATCTTAGGATAAAATTGGAGCTCTCCTAATTCTCTGGCCTTTTGCTTTTATGGACTTCATTAATTACAATCTTATTTGTAAAACCAATCTAGCATTTTATGGTGATTTTATAATTGAGGGTGATTTTTTTATACATGAATAGTAGCAAATTAGCAACTCCATCTTGCAAAGACTCAATAATAAATTTTAATCAAACTAGTCTGCTTATGTTTATCACATAGCTCTCATAGAAATGAAGTAATTTAGGGATTTTATTCAACTGATCAGGTTAAATTAACATGGTTCCATCTGGCTTTGCGCCCAAAGCACAGTGGTTACGGCACCAGCCACATACACTGAGGGGTGGCGGGTTCAAACCTGGCCTGGGCCAGTTAAACAACTGCAACAAAAAATAGCCAAGCATTATGGTAGGTACCTGTAGTCCCAACTACTTCGGAGGCTGAGGCAAGAGAATCACTTGAGCCCAAGAGTTGGAGGTTGCTGTAAGCTATGAGACCAAGGCAGTCTACTGAGGGCAACATAGTGAGACTCTGTCTCAAAAAAAAAAAAAGAGAAAATAGTTCCGTCTACTGCAGCCTGAGTGGTATTTTGTATTTACTATTTTTGTCTTTAGAACAAAATTAAAACTATATTTAAAAAACTCTTCTTGCACAAAAACTAACCAAAAAAATGTTTAGGGCAACTTTATTTATAATGGCCAAAAATTGGAAGCAACCAAGACACTCTTTAATAGGTAAATGAATGAAAAATGTGGTGCACATCCATACAGTGGAATGTATTGAGGAATAAAAAGATAGGAGTTCAAACCACAAAAAAGACAGGAAGGGATCCTAAACTCATGTTACTAAGTGAAAGAAGCCAGCCTAAAACTACTGTATGACCCAACTACATGTACTGGAAAAGCCAAAACTGTAGAGACAATGAAAAGATCAGTGATTGCCAGGGGTTCTCAGAGAGATGAAAAGCATAAGCACAGGGGATTTTTAGGGCTATGAAACTATTCAGTAAACTACTGAACTGGTGACTAAATGATCATACATTTGTCAAAACTCACAGGATATACTATACAACACAAAGTGAACCCTGCTGTAAACCAGGATTTTAGTCAGTAACGTGTGAGGCAGTGCCCATAGCTCAGTGGGTTGGGCATTGGACACATACACCAAGGCTCACGGGTTCAAACCCGGCCTGGGCCAGCTAAAACAATGAGAACTGCAACAAAAAAATAACGGGTGTTGTGGTGGACGCCTATATTCCCAACTACTTGGGAGGCTAAGGCAAGAGAATAGCTTGAACCCAAAGAGTTTGAGGTTACTGTGAGCTGTGATGCCAGGGCACTCTACCCAAGGCAACAGTTTGAGACTCTGTCTCAAAAAAAAAAAAAAAAAAGTGTCAATATCAGTACACCAATTGTAACAAATGTCCCAGTTATAAAATATGTGAACACTAGGACAAGGGAGGAGTGTATGAGAACTCTGTGTACTCTCTGCTCAATTTTTCTGTCAAATTAAAATTACTCTAACATATAAAATCTAATAGTAAGACACAATATTTTTCCTATAGTTTCTTCTGGCAATAAAGTAGCCTTTACAAAATGACTACAACAAAGATATTACCTTCTATTGTGTTTTTGCCAGTGATATGACAATAATTTTAAAAGTTAATTTTGTTATTCAACAACAAGTTACATGTACTGAAACTTTTCAATGCTCATGTCTTTAACTATGTTGAAGATTATTTTTTCTAAGATGAACACAATTTTTAATTTTGTAATTTGACGTGCCTCTCATAGCTGAGGAATTAAACATACTTAATGGCAAATAAACTAAAAATTTCATTTAACTTCAACTCTTCCTATGGCATAATTTCCAAAAATGTGCCGATTATTATTATGAGGCAAGAAAAAAATGGTTACCTCTTCAAATGAATTTGAGACAGACTAGGTTAAACCTAAATCTATTTCTCTGCTGCAAGACTACTCAGAGTTTTTGATGCACTGGTACTTACTGAGAATGTCCAAAAGGGGAATAGAAGACCAATTACCAACAAATATGACCATGAAACAACTTCTGGTCATGTGCTCCAGTCGTATTCTTTAGAACAAACTACAGAAAGCAATAATAAAAAAGAATTCCAAATGCAAACACAAGGAAAATCTCAGTTTCACACAGAACTAGGTATAGAGCATAAAGAAGTAATTTTGTTAAAAAGGCGTATTTTAGCTTGATCAAGAGTAAGAAAGGGTGGTGCCTGTAGCTCAAAGGAGTAGGGTACCGGCACCGACCCCGGCCAAAAACTGCAAAAAAAAAAAGAGTAAGAAAAGTCCCTAATGAAGATTTCACATTCAATCAGAAAATAATTACTCAGCTCAGCACCTGTGGCTCAAACAGCTAAGGCACCAGCCACATACACCTGAGCTGGTGGGTTCGAATCCAGCCTGGGCCCACCAAACAACAAAGACGGCTGCAACCAAAAAAATAGCTGGGCGTTGTGGCGGCCACCTGTAGTCCCAGCTACTTGGGCGGCTGAGGCAAGAGATTTGCTTGAGCCCAGGAGTTAGAGGTTGCTGTGAGCTGTGATGTCGCAGCACTCTACCCAGGGTGATGGCTTGAGGCTCTGTCTCAAAAAAAAAAAAAAAGAAAGAAAGAAAGAAAGAAAATAATTATTCGACACATGCTATGGTAAATCTTGACAGCAAAAAGGCCAGGGCACACATAAGAAAGAGCAAACAGGTCATCTTCGCTAAGGCATAATTCCTGTATGTATTAAAAGACAAGACTAGATCAAACTATGACAAGATAGAAATGAGCTTACATATACAGTTTAGCTATCTTGGGCTGAAATAGGTCAAAACTAGAAATCATTAAGGAGAAAGTAGGAAGAGACATGAAAGATACCACAAAGAAACAGACTATCCCCCCATGATGAGTCATCAATTATGGATCTAAAAGTTAACTAACTATATTTAATTTTCGAAGATTTTTGAGTTTTCACAATTTAACTATTTAAAGAGATTTCAGTTTAAAAGAATAGTCCCACAGTATTTGTGAATATATCAGTTAATGTATCAGTATTCACATTTTAGGTGAAAAGTTGATGTATAAAAGCAAAAATCACCCAAACTGTAGTGAAAAAAACTATATTACCTTTCTGTCTGGCTTTAACTATCACTTCTATATGCTTCATTGCTGCTTTTAATAGTTTCTTGGTTATAATAGATGGAATATCCACCTAGAAAAATTCAACATAAAAATAAAACTTTTAAAGTAATTATTACTCATTGGAATATCTTAAAAATTACAAGTATCATTCAAAATGTTTCAAAAATATATCTTAAAAACCTTATATTCTTAGATCATACAACTAAAACAGGTTTTTTTAATCAAAGTATTAAAAATTTATCTGAAATGCATATTTTGTATATTTTGTTTTTTTCTTTAATTTCAGAGTATTACAAGGGTACAAACGTTTTCACTATGTGAATTGCTTCTGTGAAGTTTGAGTGAAAGATGTTAACTGTGCCCAACATCCACACAGTGTGCACTGTACTCATCAAGATGTGATTTTACTCATTCCCTCCTCCCCTTCTCACCTGCCTGATAGCTGTGGAGATTTACTTCCATCTGTGCACCTCAGTGTTGATCAGTTAGTTCCAGTTTAATAGTGAGAACATGTGGTGTTTGCTTTTCTATTTCTCATAATACTTCACTTAGGAGAATGGTCTCCAGTTCCATCCAATATGCATACTCTAAATACTAAATTTTTCCCACAAAATAATGTCATTATTCCTAGCTTGTTTATAAGTGTTCTTTGTGTTAAATGCATGCAAGGAAAACTCCAGTAACTTATCATCTTGATATAAATTCTGTTGGTAAGATGTTAGTTGAAAATGAACTTGTTCCTTTAGCTCCCAAGATGAATTCTGGATTTAAATTCTATGGAAGCATCCTATTTTATAATACTATTTAGTTTCATCATTTCCAACCAAAAGCTTCCAGCCTGAAAGTTAGATTATGTAGCAATAACAGGAGGACAGTGAGGGAGGACTGAGGGCTTAAATACACACCCAGAAAAGCAGCAAAAAATAACTAAAAATAAATTACAAATAAAATCACCAAAAAGCAAGTTTATTGGACTTAACAGGCTCATCTACCACCATATAACCTAACGCCTTTTAACTTCCCATTATTAAAGGCATGAGAAAATTCCATCACAATAGTGTTAACGTTCCAATTCTTTTTAAATTCCTTATTAGAGAACAAAATTCCATGGTGCAAAGTCTAGCAACTATGATACATTATAATCCCTCACATCCTGGTGACCTGCTGAAAACCCAAAGCAAAGATCAAACATGTTCATTAAGAAAGAATATATATATTTTTTCTTTTTGAGACAGAGTCTCACTATGTCGCCCTGGGCAGAGTACCCTGGTGTCACAGCTCACAGCAACCTCAAACTCTTGGGCTTAAGTGATTTTCTTGCCTCAGCCTCCCAAGTAGCTGGGACCACAGGCATCCACCATAACACCCAGCCATTTCTTGGTTGCCGTTGTCATTGTTATTTTAGCAGGCCCGGGCTGGGCTGGAACCCGCCAACTTCAGTGTACGTAGCCAGCACCCTACTCTCTAAGCTATGGGCACCAAGTCAAGACAGAATATTCTTGCTAGTATCATGCACCTCATTGCAAAGTAACCCATGGGCATACAGTACTCAACGATTATAATTACTCTCATATTTATCAAATGAGATGTTAGCTTTGAAATATTTTATGTAATCTTTTTTTCTGAGAATACTTATGAAGATTTTCATTTATAAGCTCCAATTTAAGGACTTCAGGTCAGAATTAAAATGGCAAAATATGGTGGCACCTGTATTTCAGTGGGTAGGGTGCTGACTACATACACCCAGGCTGGCGGGTTCGAATGGTGCCTAAGCCAGCTAAACAACAATGATGACAACTGCAAACAAAAAAAAAAAAAAAAAAAGCCAGGTGTTGCAGCGGGCCCCTATAGTCCCAGCTACTTGGGAGGCTGAGGCCAGAGAATCGCTTAAGCCCAAGAGTTTCAGGCTGCTGTGAGCTGTGATGGCACAGCACTCTACCAAGAGTGATGTAGTGAGGCTCTGTCTCAAAAAAATAAAATAAATAAAAATAAAATGGTAAAATAACAGGTCCCTCAATAAACGTTGATTTAAAAAAAAAAGAAAACTGTTGACCTTAAAAAAAAATCTTTGTTTTCACCATCCCTAAACTTCCAATTTACATTATTCAAGCAACAGTATCAAGGACAGAACATTGTAGGTCAAATAAGATGACCCAGGCCTAATCCACCACCCATTAACTACCTCTGACACTTTGATATTTCTAACTTTCTTTAAAAAGAATATAATGACTGATTTATCTCCTAGGACACTGATCCTAGGATAAATGAGAAAAATATATAGCACAATAACCCAGAGACTGGAAGAAAATATTTGTAAGTCATTTATTTGATAAAAAGTTGTATCTAGGATCTATAAAGAACTCAGTAAGAAAAAGATAGGCCAGATATAATGGCTCACCCCTGTAATCCTAGAACTCTGGGAAGCCAAGGTGAGAGGATCTCTTGAAGTCACGGGCCTAAGACGAGTCTGAGTAAAAGCAAGACCCCATCTATACCAAAAACAGAAAAAATCAACCAGGCATGGTGGTGTACACCTGTAGTCCCAAGTACTCAGGAGGCTGAAACCAAGAGGATCGCTTAAACCCAGGAGTTTGAGGTTGATATGAACTATCATGATGCCATGGTACTCTAGCCAAGGTGACAGAGAGACTCTGTCTCAAAAAATAAATAAATAAATAACACAACAATCAGGTGCAGTGGAGTGCATGGGTAGTCCCAGCTCCTCAGGAGGCTCAAACAAAAGTATAGCTTGAGCCCAGGAGTTTGAGGTTGCAGCGAGTTAAGATAACACTACTGCACACCAACTTGGGCAACAGACCAAGCTCACACACACATACACACACGACATGCATGCACACACACAACAAACAAAAAACAGTGAGGTAATAACTAGCTCTGGCAAAGATGTGGAGAAACTGGAATCCTCATACACTGCTGGTAGGAATGTAAATGATGGAGCTACTTTGGAAAACAGTCTAGCAGCTCCTCCAAGAGTTAAATACAGAAGTACCATTTGGTCATGTAATTATACTCCAGACCTAAGCCCAAAATAAATAAAAATTTGTATTCAACAAAAAAACTTACACATATAAGTTCATATATGAATAATGGCCAAATGTTCCTCAACTGATGAATAGACAAATGTTAGTATAGCCATACAGCAGAATACTAATCAGCTATAAAAAAAGGATGGAGCGCTGATACGTGCTAATATATGCTACAAGATGTTAGCATGGATGAGCCGTGAGAACATCGTGCTATGTGGAAGAGGCCAGTGACAAAAGGCCACATACTGTACAATCCACTTACGTGCAATGTTTAGAAGAGACATGAAATTCATAGAGCAGACTTGTGGCTGGACATGGCTGAAGGGACAGGAGGTGCTACTACTCTGGAACTTGGTAAGCTACCACAAAGCCTAACACAGCAGAATTGTTCTATTAACTAATGCCTTTTCTAATTCAATGTACTAAGGCAAACAAAATTAATTTTAGAAAATTAATTTTATTTCACTTATTCCAAGTTGGAAATTAAATGGTTCACCATCAACAAATTGATATTTCTTCCTAAATCTTTTATTCCACTTAGTCTATTGAAACAACTGCCCCAGAACCACTTTTTAAGCAATACCATGTGTATCAATCTTTTCTAAAAATGATAAATGCTCAATGCAAAAAAAAGACAAATAGAAAGAAGTAACTGGAAAGAACTAAAATTCAGCATCAGCCCACCACCACAATAAGAGTTAACAGTGATAATGATGTATATAACCTTAACATATGTATTAACATGCTTTATTATATAAACTTTGTTTTCAAAGTGGAAAAATACCACATATATTATTTTCTAGCTCCTTCCACTTGACTCTTTAAGATAAATATTTTCACATGAAAATAAGTACTCTATAAAATTTTTAGCTGTTTAGAATTCCATAGTTAAGATGTACTATGTATACTCAACACACAATCCTATCACAAGACATCAGTTTTTCTTTTCAGTTTTATTATAAATCATAGTATAATAAATCTCTGAACATAAATTTTTAAATATATCTTTGATCATTTCCTTAAAATATATACCAAAAATTGGAATTAAATTTGGAGTACAGACATTTTTAAGTTGTTTTCTTTTTTTAATTTCAGGTTAATGTGAAGATACAAGCAAACAGGTTACAATATGTGCATATCTTAGGTAGAGTCCCCTTGTAATTGTGTCCTGCACCCAAAGAGTGTGCCATATACCCTAACACTGTGTCCATTAAGTGGCAACACACCAATCCCCTACCCGCCTCTGCTCTCCCTCTTCCCCCTACAACTTGAATTGAGTTTTATTTTGTTTTTTTGCAGTTTTTGGCCAGGGCTGGGTTTGAACCCACCACCTCTGGCCTATGGGGCTGGCACCCTACGCCTTTGAGTTGGACTGAGTTTTTCTCCTATGTGGGCATTGTATTAGATTGTCTAAGGGTTTCATATTAGTATTAAGTACACTGGATATTTGCTTTTCCATTTTTGTGATACTTTACTAAGAAGAATGTATTTCAACTCTATCCAGGTTAATACAAAAGATGTAACATTTCCATCTTTTTTATGGCTGCATATTTTTAAGACTTAATAAAGATTACTAAACTGCCCCCAAGTGTAAGAATTATACCAATCTGGATTTGCACTTGTTCTGCCTATTTCCACACAACCACCATTACTAGATAATAACATTCTCTTTCACCTTTCCCAATTTGATAAAAGAATATTTCATTAAAATTTTTTATGTACTTGATATAAGATATTTAAGTGCTCACTGGCCATTATATTTTATATTTTTCTTTTGTGAACTGCTCATTTGTATTTTTTGCATATATTTTCTATAGTGTCTGACTGTATTGTTCATTTTTTAAATAGGTACAGAAACATTTAACAAAATTTATTTTGTTACTAATGGCAGAGATATAATACAGGGGTGTCAAAAAAAATGTATACACATTGTAAGAGATCTTGTCAGAAGTAAAATCCATCATTCCCCCAAATGCACAAACTACAGGTAAAATGGTTGTACACAGAATGTCTAGGTACACTTGACAAGCAATGGTACCTTCAATTCAACTTTGAAAAGTAATACATAGATAACATCACTTAAAATGGGTATACATTGGCTTGGTGCCTGTAGCACAGGGGTCATGGCGCCAACCACATACACCAAGGGTGGCAGGTTCAAACTTGGCCCAGGCCAGCTAAAACAACAATGACAACTGCAACAAAAAATAGCCGGGAGTTGTGGCAGGTGCCTGTAGTCCCAGCTACTTGGGAGGCTGAGGCAAGAGAATCGCTTAAGCCCAAGAGTTTCAGAGAGCTGTGATGTCACAGCACTCTACCGAGGGTGACACAGTGAGAGTCTGTCTCAAAAAAAAAGTGTATACATTTTCTAACACCCTCTGTATATAACACTAATTCACAGTCAATATGTTCAATGCTATTGACAAAACAGTAGACAATGCCTATAGCCAATATACTATATTATGTATATGGCCAAAGACCCAAACATATACAAAATATGGCTCAAAAAAAATTTTTTTTAAGTAGATCAAACTAAAACTGGGCAAGGTAGCTCACACCTGAAACCCTAGCACTCTGTGAGGCCCAGGATCCTTTGAGCGCAAGAGTTCAAGACCAGCCTAAGCAAGAGCAAGAACTATCTCTACTAAAAACAGAAAAACCAATTTCAAAACTATTAAGAAATGAGTATAATGGTGATGGATGTGTTACTTAGTTCAATGTAAACATTTCACATTGTATATTGAAGCAGTACCCTGAACCCCATAAATGCATCAATGCATTTATGATTTAATAAAAAGTAATTTTTAAAAAATAATAAAAAAAAAAAAACCAGAAAAATCAGCCAAGCGTTGGCACAGGTGCCCGTAGTCCAGCTACTCAGGAGGAGGAGACAGGAATATAACTTAAGCCCAGGAGTTTGAGGTTGCTGTGAGCTAGGCTAATACCATAGCACTCTAGCCTGGGCAACAAAGTACATAAATAAAAGTAGATCCAACTCATTGCCATTTACTCAATAAATTCATCTACCTGGAATATGACTTTTTTCTATCATTGCCTTTTTGTTTCTAATTTTCACAACCCTAGATAACCAAACATTAACATTTTAAAAAGCAAAACTGATCAATGAATAATAGTAATTCAGTAATTTTTTAGACTAAAAAAAAAATGAAGAGAAAATAAACACATGTGATAAAAGAGAAAGTAAAAATAAGATTGAAAATAATCTTTCATAATGAGAAAGCCCCAACTGCCCAAATTTCTCATTATAAATACATACCTTGTGAATTCTTCGTATTAAAACAGATGCAAAAAACCGTAATGTTACTCTCAGTTCATCAACAAAGGACTCATCATCTGTCACATCCCTTCAATTGAAGAGAAAAGCAAACATTCAAAAGCTTAAAGAATACAGTTTGCACCCTCTAAGAACCAAGGAAAAAAATTCTTTTTTCTCCCAATTTAACTATTTTTCTGTTTATTTATAAATAATGCATTTTATGCAGAATAAAATACATAAAAAGGCATAATCACTACTATTAACTAAACTGCAGTATATATTTCCTTGCAGATATACATAGTCCCATTTGTACAATATTAAGATCGTTTTCTAAGCATCATTAAAGAAATTTCAATGAAACAAAAGAATGAATAATTTTGGAGAAACAGAACACAAAATTTTAAATTAGTTTAAAATATTTACAGAACAGCAACATAAACTAACTCTAAGATTTAAAAAGTATGCTCTATTTGAAAAAGAACTGAAACAAACATTTTTTAATTGAAATTTTGACAACCTTCATCTGAAGGGCTACTTTTTGTTTTCCTCTTATTTTGAGGTTCCTAGAATTAGGACACTTTCCTAATAAAAGGCAAGAAAGAAAGGTATGTACAATGTACCTTAAAGATGATGCTAACTGTTAAGTCCCTTGGCAGAGTAAGGAAGATAATTGTACCAACCATGCTTCCCACCATTAACCCCAGGGAAGGGAATATTATAGGACCAGTAACTAGACTAAGGAGAAAACACACACTTTAACACTTAGAAATAAAGCAAGATTTTATGTCTGAAGTGTCATAATATAGACATAGGAGACGGTAAAGGAGTCTTTACAAAAGGATTTATTTTATAAGTGGCCTCACCATTAGCTTTACCTAAAAAGGCAAATGTGGCTGGGCGCAATGGCTCATGCCTGTCATCCTAGCACTTTGCAAGGCCAAGGTGGAAGGATCACCTGAGCACAGGAGTTCAAGAACATCCTGGGCAACATAGTGAGACTCTATCCCTATGAAAATTAGCCAGGCATAGTAACATGCACCTATAGTCCTAGCTACTCAGGAACCTGAAGCAGGAGGATCACTGGAACCCAGGAGTTACAAGTTGCAGTGAGCTATGATGACACCACTACACTCTAGTCCATGCAACAGACAAAGACCCTGTCTCAAAACAAAAAAGACAAAAGAACAAAAAACCTTAAATAAAAATGGCAAATACAGCCAGGTGCAGTGGCTCACAACTATAATCCTAGCATTCTGGGAGGTTGAGGCAGATGGACTGCTTGAGTTCAGGAGTGGGACACCAGCCTGAGCAATAGTGAGTCCTGGTCTCAACTAAAGATAGAAAAACTAGCCAGCCATCATGCGGGCATCTGTAGTTCCTGCTACTTGGGAAGCTGAGGCAAGAGAATCACTTGAACCCAAGAGTTCGAGGTTGCCGTTCAAGGTTGCTATGAGGTATGACTCAACTGTCTCCAAAAAAAAAAAGAAAGAAAAAAAACAAATACCTGATATTTAAGACAGAACACAATATAAAAAAATTAATTTACACAGCTTTTCAGGAAAATATGGTAGATAAACTGGATATCAAATCTGTTAACACAGTCTGGATGAACACAACTAGTAGTATTTTTCTTAATTAAAAAATATAAAATTAGAGCAGCATCATTAAACATATCTTTAAGTGATATAGGTGTAAGTTTTCAAATATACATTAATGATACTTAAAGGAAATATGTTTTGATTAAATGATTTAAGTTGCATTTCTCTTCAATTCTCAAACCAGATGTTTTTTCAGATCTTTACAGAGATTATACATCTTTACAAAATGCCTTACAGAGCATTTCTGTATCTGGAAGGCACAGAGCACTGGTATGTACATGGTATGTACTTAAAACAAAGTTACTTTGCTCCAGACTAAGTAGAATGATTTTGAAGTATTTCTTATTCCATTATCTATAAGATTTGGCATGATCTGTTTTTTTGAAATTATCTTTTACTTTTATTTATAAATATTAGTTGTCTTTTTTTTGAGACTTTGGAAAAAAAATAATAAGTTAACTGATCAAAGTATTCTATAATAGACATACTTCTGATAATGTAAATGTTAGTTTCTTTGCATTATTACTATTATTATTGCTTAATACTTCGTTGCAGTAATCGTCTGATTTCTTTTCTGAATGTATTTATCTTCATTCGTTCTTTATGAGGCGTTTGTTCTCAGTCTTTATGTTAAATATTGTTATTGTCATTAAATTTAGCCTTTTTAACTCTGCGAAAGCAAAAGTGGACACCTAATATACACATGTATAAGTAATAAAAAAAAAAGTTACTTTGGAAAAAAAAAGTATTAATTTTCCAGGAAAACTACTGAAGTTACCTTTCCGTTTAATGAAACATCTGAATATAGATTTTCCCCCCAAAGGTATAACGATTTCAAATATGAAAATTGTGTACGAAATTAGTAAGTTACTACATTTAGAGATGACAATTTCTAGAAGTTACTCTTCTTTCAAAAAACAGTCTAGGTTTTCTTCCTCTTTGCTATCACTCAATTATTAATTGATTACCTACATCACGGTTTCTTAACTGGGGCCAATTATGCCTTCCAGCAAGCTCTGAAGATCTTTTTAGTATTTACAATGGGGCGGGAGGGCAGGGGGTGGAGGGGTGGATGTGCCTACTTCTAGCATCTAATAAGCAGCAGCCAGGATGCTGTTAAATATCCTATAATCAAAGTATAGCACTCCATAACAAAGAATTATTTGGCCTAAAATGTCAGTAGTAACAAAGTTGAGAAATCTTGGCCCATACTAAAAATACATCATTAGTATGCTTAGCTTAATGGTATTTACTATATTAAGCAAAAAAGAGCTTATAGAAAGGACATACCTGTACCATGGATAAACAAAGTTTTCCAACACTAATTCAAGAACCTGTGCAAAAATTATTTTTAAAGAAAAATAAAATTAATTCTGTGGAAATAAACTGTACTACTTGGTTATATATAAAATTATCATGAACCAATTTTATAACAAATAACAGTAAAATCATACTTTCACATTACATCAGAAGATATATTTCAACCATATACAATTGTGAGGATCGAAGAGAATATGTGAGAAAACACTTGGAAAGTCATCAAATTTCACAAAAAGGAAAAATTATTATTGAAATGCACACACATATTCCTAAATATTCCCATAATCAAACAAAAAACTTCAATGAACTATTCCTGACTCTGAAGCATCACTGAACCCAAAAAGATCTATGGAGAGGAAGAAAATAATAAGCTTGTCTTTTGCATTCCTAACTTTCAATAAGTCAGTACTCCCAGAACAAAATAAAGAAACAAGTAGGTGGGCGGCGCCTGTGGCTCAAGGAGTAGGGTGTTGGCCCCATATACCGGAGGTGGCAGGTTCAAACCTAGCCCTGGCCCAAAAAAAAAAAAAAAAAAGCAAAAAAAAAAAAAGTAGGTAAGATTTATGTAAGGGGTCAATTTTAGGTGTTAGTGGTCACCTTTGAAGGATAGTATCTTGGACGGGAATGTGAAAGGGAGTTCTGGGACACTGGTAATTTTTTAATCTGGATACTGGTTGTACAGATATGTTCACTTAATAAAAATTATACCTGTACACTTAAAGACAGTATATACATTATATGTTAAAAAGTAACAAAACTAAACTGGGTGTTTAGTAAAACTGGGTGTTACACTTTCCATTTCTTGGGTCTGAGTGTAGCAGTATGTTATAATTTTTAAAAGAGTTGCAGCAGTGGACCATAACTTTAAAAAGCAAAAAGCAGTAGGGAGGAATCAGACCTTCTATCTTCTCAGGCAAAAGTTACAAAGGTTGGGCAGTGCCTGTGGATCAGTGAGTAGGGCGCTAGCCCCATATACCAAGGGTGGCGAGTTCTACCTCAGCCCCAGCAAACTGCAACAAAAAATAGCCGGACATTGTAAGCTATGGCAGGCACCTGTAGTCTCAGCAACTCCAGAGGCTGAGGCAAGAGAATCACCTAAGCCCAAGAACTGGAGGTTGCTATCAGCTGTGACACCATGGCACCCTTCAGAGGGCGACAAAGTGAGACTCTGTCTCTAAAAAAAAGTTACAAAGTTTGTGAAGCCCCTAGTTTAAATATTAAAGCAACAATAAGTTAGATTTTTTTACTACAAAAACCAAGCATTAGTTCTATCAGCTGGGAAATGAAGATACATATAAAACAGCCATATCAATGAATAGGGTAGACAGGAAACTAGAGGTTACTGTTAAAACATATGCTCTCCTTTTATTCCACACATCCAATTAGTCACCAAATCTGACTGATTTTACACCCTAAGTAGGTCTCTTCTACAACACAACTGTTAGGGTCCTCATTTTCTTATCCCTATATATATATTGCAGCAACACCCTCTAAATCAGTGTTTTTCAACCTTTTTCTTTTAATCTCATAGCATACCTGAAGCTATAGTTAAACTTCTGCAGCACACTTAAATTACGTTGATCAAAAAAAAAAAAAAAGAGTAAAAGAACTGCAATTTGAATTTGTTTTGAAAATAATTTAATGATCTTTCAAAATTTTCACAGCACACGTAGGATCTCATGGCACACCTGTTGCAAAATCACTGCTCTAACTTGGTCTTTCTGCTTCTAAGCTCACTCCCTTCCAGCCTGCATAGCACTGCCAAAGTGATCTACATCATGTTTGACTACAATGCTTCCCTGAATGCAATCCTCCACATGTCAAAGCACAAAACATGAAAAGGGGTATAGCTGCATTGATTTTGAAGGGGTGCTGCTGGCATGCAGCAGCTGTGACCATATACTTCTTTTTCACTTCCCACTGCATCCTGTAAGTCACATCTGAAAGCTCATATTACACAGGTTGAAAATCACTGTTTTCCAAGATTAATTACTCTAAACTCTATTAGTACAGCCTTTGAAATCATTTGATGATCTGAATCTGATATTTAAAGAGCCATTCCTAAGCAAGACCCATTTTTGACTGAGTTCTGCAACCAGATATGAAACTTTAGAAATTAAAAGTTTCTAAACTTCACTTTACCTTTGTAAAATTATCAATAGCAACTACTTTGTAGATTATGTACAGATTATACGAATAATATAAGTACTTAGCCACACTGCCTAACATACGGCATATCATTGAACCTTAACTACTAGGATATTGTTTCTTCATTGACCACATCCTCCCTCACATTCTACCCTCCAGTTTACTGAATATCCCACCTTATTTCAAGCTTCTCTTTCCTTTTAAAATACCCTTTCCCACACCATTATTAGCCTGGCAAACTTTTAGTTGTCCAATCTTGACTGCCCCTCTCCACAATTGTATACTTTCTCCTCTACACCAATTCTATACACCTTGTACATTTTTTCCAATATTGCCTGTATTACATTACATTGTAATTACCTATTTGTATGTATACCTCTCCTCCTAAAGTTCCTAGTAAAGAAGGACCATATCTTATTTCTCTCTTAATTCCTTAGGGCTAGCCCAGTTCCTGCGTATAGCAAGATCTCAAAACGTTTTTTAGTGTCATTCAAGTTTTACTGATGCTTTATTTTTCACAAAGTACAGTAAATAAAATAAAATAAAAAAGCTTTGAAAATGTATAGTTCTGAGATTAAGATAAGTTACTGATTATATTCCTTATAGACTTTAAACTCTGTGAAAGCTGTGTTACATATTAAAAGCACACTGATCCAAATAAAATGATTTTCCGCCTTAGAGCAATCTAGTATTAAAAAGTATATAATTATGCAAGATTATAAGTTTTGACTAAAATGAAAATTTGCACCTGGATATGGTCAGGTGCTAAGCATTGTTCCTAGCTTCAAAATACGATGTATCTATTTCATAATCTGGTTGGGGTATGAAAAGCGTAGTTTGATGCTGCAGATTTTCCTATTCTACATCACTAAAGAGATTCCAGCTCTCTTGTTATCAATCAATGGTATTGATTGATATTTCTACTGCACTTAGAGTATTATCAGATAACTTTTCACCTGGTGACTATTCTCAAAAGGAGTATCTCTTTTCAGAATATTCTGGAATACTTGTTGCAGTGTTTTATCATTGAAAGGGAGAATTCCTGATAGAAACTCAACCTCAAACTCTTGGGCTTAAGCAATTCTCTTGTCTCAGCCTCCTGAGTAGCTGGGACTACAGGGGCCCGCCACAACTCTTGGCTATTTTTTTGATGCAGTTGTCGTTGTTTAGCAGGCCCGGCGTATGTGGCCAGCACCCTAACCCCTGACCTACGCTAGCTCTGGTGTATGTGGCCAGCACCCTAACCCCTGACCTATGCTGTGGGTGCCAAGCCAACCCTACCAGTCTACTCACCACAGGACTATGGACCCTGCCTAGTAATAGCTCAGGTACAAGGTAGTCAGAAGTTCCTAGAATTTGCCCATCATTGACTGGGGCTGCCCCTCTTCTCACCCACCATGGAGTTCAGTATGGGGTTCCTGCCTTGATCTGCTTTGGGGTCTGCTAATATAGTATACAGGTTTTTCCATTTTGGGTAGGGGAAACACTCATGGGATATGTACCACTATAAGCACATGAAATATCCACTGCATCTAAAAAAGTAATGTTCATTCTGGATGGTTCTTAGTTATTGGATGCATTAATATGACTGTTAAAAACTTTAAAAAACTATAGCATTTCTTTTAGAGGTTAACATTTTCAACACCTTCAAAGAAGGAGCTAACATTTTTTTTGGTTACTGTCTTGGACAACAGGGCTCGCAACACCTTTTGGAAAGGTAGTTTTTTGGCAGTTTGGCAACACATTAATTACATCTTCAATATTTGATTCTTCAAAAGAGGTTTCTTTGATGCTTTTATCTGGATCTAAGAATTGCCTTTGTTTGTTTGTTTGTTTGTTTAGCAGACCTGGGCCGGGTTCGAACCTACCAGCCCCTGAGCATGTGGCTGGCACCCTAACCACTGAGCTATGGGTGCTCAGCCTAAGAATTGCCTTTCAAATACTTTCCATTATAGAAATTCCTGGAAAAGATGAATCAGAGTTCATAAGTACTTGCAGAAGCTCTATCATCACAGAACATGGAAAACTGAAACTTAAGTTGTCCTTATTATTTTTTTACAATCTTTACCCAGTTCACACCTATGGATTTTTGCTATCATTGGTATAGGTATTTTCTGCTGTTTGCTATTTATCAATAAAAGAATCAACAATGTCTTTATTAGAAGTCACTTCATTGACTTCTATTTGATGATAGCTCATGTTCCTGAACACCAGCTGTTAAACCTGTACTTGGATTTGTATAAACAGTCTACTATTTCATTAGTATTCTTACATTCTACACAATTTTTTTATCCTGCATGATTTCCTGACAAGGCCTAGAGTCAACCAACTCAAAATTTCTTTTTAAATTTCTTTTCTCAAGATGCTCTTCAGACACCTCAGCAGAATCCACAGCCCACTGATATGCCTAATGTAAACCAGACTGTTCTTTGTCAGTGGCTGTTACTTATTCTCATATTATTTACATCCAATTCTCTTGCTTTACAAGAAGCTTCTCCAGAGGATTTTTTTTAAGCAAGGTTTATACAAGAGCTTCCATCAGCAGGAATGGCACTGCTGTTAGAATGGGAGAAAGGACTAACTCAAGATCCTTTTTATTGAAACTTTTGGTTTCCATGGCATTTGTAGATTTTGCACATAACTTGTCAACTATATTCAAACCCATCATTGTAGAGCCCAATACCTCGTCACTTTCTTGGTAATCCTTTTCCAATCTGGGACTGCTGTGGCATTCTGATTCCACACTGGATGTGAAGGTGTGGGACTAACTACTGGCACTGGATGCAGCCAGCCTTTTCCTATACTGGAGTAGATTAAAAATTAGACATTTTACACGTATTCCTGGGTTAGAGGCAAGTGTTTCAGGACATGATTTTAGTAGTTTGCTAAAATAAGGAGCTGTGTGCTTTTCATTTATAGACATAGGACAAATGGCTCCTTGAGAAAATGAATGTTTCAGATAGATGGGTTGAAATGATATCTGTAGAGTCTTGATTTTTTTCTGTGACTAGTATATTAAATCCTAAAGAGCTAATGAGAGATAATACTTGTCCTGGGGTTCTTGAATAATCTTGTCTAGGTTTCACCAGTGTTGTAAGGATATCCATCATATTAATTTCTCTATTCAGATTAACTTTGGAAAGGCCCAAATCTGTCAGTTGAATACAGTGGTTCTCAACCTGTAGGACAAGCACCTGCTATAATGCCTGGCTGTTTTTAGAAACGGGTCCCACTCTTGCGAAGGCTGGTCTTGAACTCAAGCAGTCCACCTGCCTCGGCCTCCCAGAGTCCTGATAATGAAGTATCTTACTGTAGGAGATGTCAAGTTCTCCTACATATATACAGTTATTTTGATGAAGAGATGGCTGTGAAATACATTTCTGAAGTAGCACTGGCTCTAGACTACCTTCATGGGCATGGAATCATCCACAGAAACTTGAAACCAGACAACATGCTTATTTCTTTCTTTTTTTTTTTCCTTCTGTAGAGATAGAGTCTCACTTTATCATTCTTGGTAGAGTGCAATGGCATCACATAGCAACCTCCAACTCCTGGGCTTAGGCGATTCGCCTGCCTCAGCCTCTCGAGTAGCTGGGACCACAGGCGCCTGCCACTATGCCCAGCTATTTTTTGTTGCAGTTCGGCTGGGGACAGGTTTGAACCCACCACCCTCGGTATATGGGGCTGGCGCCCTTCCCACTGAGCCACAGGCACTGCCCAAAATGCTTATTTCTAATGAGGGTCCTGTTGTTGCCCCAGAGTAGAATGTCATGGCATCATAGCTCATAGCAACCTCAAACTCCTGGGCTCAAATGATCCTGTTGCATCAGCCTCCTGAGTAGCTGGGACTACAGGTGCCTGCTACAATGCCGGGCTGGTTTTTCTATTTTTAGTAGAGACGGGGTCTCACTCTTTTTGCTCAGGCTAATCTCCAACTCCTGAGCTCAAGCAGTTTGTTGGCCTCCCAGAGTGCTAAGGTTACAGGCGTGAGCCAACATAACTGGCCATGAGGGTCATATTAAACCAGTGGTTCTCAATCTTCCTAATGCCGCGACCCTTTAATACAGTTCCTCATGTTGGTGACCCCCAAACATAAAACTATTTTCATACACCTGTATTTGTATGGGATATATGTGATGGTTTTACGCAACCCCTGTGAAAGGGTCGTTTCTCCAAGAAAAGTGGTAAAGGAGGTCTGAAATATATTTCACCTATCTTCCACCGGATGTGAGGTCATGTTTGTTTTGTCCACCACTGTTCCTCAGATTCTGAGGTTGGGGGTAGTCAGAGGGGAGGGACTGAAAATGGCCAGGAGAGATCTTTCCTGAACTATGGAAATATTCTTCACTGCATACAACCTGCTATCCAAAAGAAATATAACGTAAGCCACACATTAATTTTAAATTTTCTAGTAGGTATATTTCTCAAAAAGTAAGATGAAAAGACCAAAAAAATGCCAGGTGCAGTGGTTCATACCTGTAATCTTAGCACTCTGAGAGGCTGAGGCAGGAAGATCCCTTGAGCTCAGGAATTCAAAACCAGCCGCAGCAAAAGAGAGACCTTGTCTCTACTACAAATAGAAAAACTAGCTGGGCATTGTGGCAGATGCTTGCAATGCCAGCTACTTGGGAGGCTGAGGCAAGAGGATCACTTGTACCCAGAAGTTTGCGGTTGCTGTGAGCTATGACACCATGGCACTCTAGCCTAGGTGACAGAGTAAGACACTGTCACCCCAAAAAAGTGAAATTAATTTTATTTAACCCAGTATATACAAAATATTATCATTTCAACATGCAAGCAATATAAAAAATGAGTTACTTTACATTCTTTTTTCTTAAGTTTCGAAATCCCAGTATAGATTTTATATTTGTAGTATATCTCAATTTGGACTAGCACATTTTAACTAATTATTAATAGCCACATGTGGTTAGCTGGTGCCATCTGGTGCCTACCATATTAGACTGCATAGTTTTAAATCAGGGAATCCTGAACATGAAAAAGGCCTTAAACAAGAAATAAAAAAGTAAACTGCTAAGAATTTGAATGGCATTTTATACAGATTACCGTTAGTCAGAGGAGGATAAAAACTAGGACAAAGGGACAGTTGGACATGAATCAGACACCTAATGCTATTCTTTAATTGATTAGTATCCAAGTTAATCCAGTACATTTCTAGCAGCTACCAACAATATATGTAACCCAAGTTGGTGCTGGGAACAAATAAGACCCAATTTCCTGCCTTTAAAGACTTCACTATTTTCTCAGATCCACTAAGACGACAAGTCTCTAAAACAGATATGTATGGTACAAAAAATGTACATGTAAAATGTGACTATGCAGATAAGAAAGAACATGCTTTCTATTCCTATATTATGCAGAAATGGTGAAAATTGTCCCATTCTCTACCCTTCAGTTAGCGTCAAAACTGGGGTCATAATTCAGTAAACTATACACCTACTTCTGGCAGTTCAGGGCTCCTTTCAGAATTTTGAAATGATTATTTCTACTATCCTATTATAAAGATGACTTTTTATAGAAGGTAAGCGATAACCACATAAAACAGAGCTTTTTCATTGCTAAAATGTCTATTTAAATTAAACATGAGATCCAAAAACATTCAAGTTACTATTCAAGTTGCTTAGTTTGTAATAATCAACTACTTAGCCCAGAACTGATTGAGTGGCATATACTGAGATGCTCTGCAATTTTTTTTTTTTTTTTTGAGACAGTCTCACTTCATCACCCTCGGTAGGGTGCCATGGTATCATAGCTCACAATAGCCTGAAACTCTTGGGGTTATGGGATCCTCTTGTCTCGGCTTCCCCAGTAGGTGGGAATACAGGCACACACCACAATGCCCGACTATTTTTAGAGGCAGGGTCTTGCTCTTGTTCAGCCTGGTCTCAAACCTGTGAGCTTAAGCAATTCAGCCACCTCAGCCTCCCAGAGTACTAGGATGAACCACTGCGCCCCATGAACAAACTTTGTGATGAAAGTATCTGGAAAAATGTTCCATAGGTATTGAATATTTTCTGCTAATAATATTAAATCAGATACCTCTGAGAGAGATGCATCAACCTTGGAAGGAATTTTCAGGTCTAGCCATGGCTGGTAGTTTTCAAGCAGCAAGGATGGCCTAAAGAAAAAAAATCATACAATTAAATCACTTGAAATCCAAAATATAATTAGAAGAACCAACAAATAAAAATTATTTAACTTACCTATGTCGTTTACATTTCACTTTACCACAAACAGCACAGCTATGACCTTGAGGAAATAATTCTTGAAGTGCTAACTGTTAAAATGGAAAATAGGGGTGAGATCGTCCTTACTTTACATCTTTACTAAAAACCATCAATCAAATTTCCAAAGGTTTTTTAATCAATGTATGAATTCAGAAGACATTTTTTAGTCTGTTGCAACAGTAAAACCATTCTTGCTAATAATTAATACTTGATAAAATCCCAATTAACAGAGTAAAAATATAACCTGATGAAATACTTCCAAATACCTAAGTCAAATTTCCAAGCTTAAAGTTAAAATCAATCGTTATCACTTATAAAAAAATAAGTGTACATTTGAAAGTGGTAACTCTACTAAAAAGGTATAAGAAAAAATTATTTTCTATTTTTCTAAAACCTTGAATTCAAGTAAGAAGAAGAAACGTGGTAACTATTATAGTAAGATTCCCGACCAAATATGGAACATCGCTTTCCCTTGTCTTACCTCTGAGTAGAAATACCAACAAATCTGACACAAAAGACTGTATCAGATTAAAAGAAGACTTCAGGATACCCTACTAAGCCCTGATCTACCTACCAAAACCCTGCCTTACAGAGACAGATTCAATACACTACCACTTTCATTACACTTCAGAAATACAAATTACTTGGTTATGCTGGCTACCTAAGTAGTTCTTTCTATGGAGCACAGATATTTAATAATTTAACAGGGTTAAATCATTTAATCCAGAGTTCCCTAACTGTATCTGTGCCTTAGAATCAACTAAAAGCTTTTTTCTTTTTTTTTTTTTTTTTTCTTTTTTCTGAGACAGGATGCTGGTTTGTCACCCAGGGTGAAGTGCAGTGGCAACATCATTGCTTACTGCAGCCTTGAACTCCCAGGCTCAAGTGCTCCTCCAGCCTCAGGTTCCTGATTAGCTGAGACTAGAGGCAGGTGACACCATGCTTGGCTAATTTTTCTTATTTTTGTTAAGACAAGGTCTCACTATGACAAGGCTGGTCTTGAACTCCTGGGCTCAAGCAATCCTCCTACCTCTGCCTCCCAAAGTGCTGAGACTAGAGGCAGGTGACACCATGCTTGACTAATTTTCTTATTTTTGTTAAGACAAGGTCCCACAAGACAGGCTGGTCTTGAACTCCAAGCAATCCTCCTACCTCTGCCTCCCAAAGTGCTGGAATTACAGGTGTAATTTCATACCTATTCTAGAATTTCAAAAATTCCCCCAGGAGATTCACTGCACAACCAGCTTGGAGAACCTCTTCTTTTTATTTTTATTTTTTTGAGACAGAGTCTCGCTCTATCACCCCCAGTAGAGTGCCACAGCGTCACAGCTCACTGCAACTTCAAACTCTCTGGCTCAAGTGACTCTTGCCTCAGCCTCCCAAGTTGCTGGGATTATATGAACCCACCATAACTCCTGGCTACTTTTAGAGACGGAGTCTAACTGAGGCTGATCTCTAACTGGTAAGCTCAAGCAATCCACCTGCCTCAGCCTCCCAGTGTTCTGAGATTATAGGCATGAGCGACCACACCAGGCTGAGGACCTGTTTTAATTTATTGTCCTCTCAGTTAAGATGCAGTTAGAGGATACCCTAAAATCATGAATTCCAACTTTCTGAAAATTATGTCCTATATTTTCTTTTTACAGCTCCTCCTAGGAGAACTGGATACCTTAAAAACATATACATAAGTAAATTTCATCTTGAAAATTTTCTGACCAACTTATCTTCCATTACTAAACAACTTTTTAAAAAGTCACTGCTTTAACATACTTTCAATAATAAATATTAAACAGTATAGGGTCCTACATATGACTCTAAGAAATAAGAAACATATAATTTTACCTTGGGTTTGTATTTTATTGTGAAGAATATATTTGGTAAGAGAGAATCAGGTCCTAATGAGCAGTAGAATGTGACAACTCCAGCAACAAATGACCAGAAGATCATTAAAACATGAAGATACCTTAGAAACAAATTAATCATTAGAACTGAAGAAAATGTATAAATTATCCTTTCATGAAATTAACAAGTATTTGTTAATCACCTACCATATCAGACTGAAGAAATTTTTCCAATCATGATTAATTTTCTGTAATGTTTATTAAATATAAGGAATCGCAAAATATATGCTGTCAAATGTATATTTCATTTAAAGTGTAAAGGGTATAAATTCTCAGTATTTCATAATTTGGCACCTATGTGGTTATTTTTAACTAGCCTCACCATATTCTTCCAGAATAGCTTCTAAGCACAGTGTAGTTATTTACACCTACCATAAATTTTTCATTCAATCAAAACAAATTTACTAAGGGCTTATTTTTGTGCTAGATAGTGCTAGGCTCCAGGAGTACTATAGGGAATAGCACTGCTGTGTTCTCTACTTGCATAGAAAATACTGTCTAGTAATGGTTAACAGGTAAATAAATGAGCATGATTTAATATGATCATATGTTTCATAATATGACAAAGTACCCATGATATGGGAACACCACAGAATGATTAGTGAAACCAAATTTATTTATTTATTTATTTATTTATTTATTTTTGAGACAGAGCCTCAAGCTATCCCCCTGGGTAGAGTGCAGTGCCATCACAGCTCATAGCAACCTCCATCTCCTGGGCTCAAGCGAGTCTCCTGCCTTAGTCTCCCGAGTAGCTGGGACCACAGGCGCCCGCCACAACGCCCGGCTATTTTTGGGTTGCAGCCCTCATTGTTGTTTGGCAGGCCCAGGCTAGATTCGAACCTCCCACCCTAGGTGTATGTGGCTGGCGCCTTAGCCACTTGAGCCACAGGCGCCAAGCCTGAAACCAAATTTAAAAGGACAAAAAGCATTTTTCAGAAAAAGTAATGTCTATAAGAAAACTTAAAGGGTAAGTAGGAGTAAACAAACAGAAGAGAATAGTATAGAGAAATGGAGATTTGGAGAAGAGGTAGAGGAATTCAAACTTGAGAGAAACACATGGGCCAAATGTTAGGCAGTTAATTAGACATGAGCAGGGGAATGCCAAATGTGGTTAAGCCATTTTAGACTGGTCTGGGTCAAGCTGACCTGCACTACTACAGGAATGGGGCCAGCGAGGACCTTGCAGGTAGGATGCCTTGAGATAGAGGCTGATTAACATTCTAGGGATTTTCTGATATTTTCAGATGCAGTCATGCTGACCTATGCTATTTTCGAAACAAGAGTTGATTAAGATCCTGGGAGATTTCCAAGAAGCA